TACACGTCCCTAGACCCTGTCCTCACTACTATAAAGCCGCAGTGACACGGGCGAGACGTGTCACTGTAACAGACTCAGTTGTCACCGACATGCATGTAAACCAATCACCGCATCACCGTCATTTGCACAGAGCCACTGAAATCGATCCGGGAATATGTAGGGTTTTCTTGATCAATCACGATTAATCCACAGCTATTTGAATCAATTGGCAGCCACACGTTGAATAAATTACCACAACTTGAAATAACTCAACACGGTAAAGACTAGGCCGATGTACTAATCGATATTCTACAGCACAGTATCGATTTTTTTTTTGTATTCACAATTAACATGCAAATATTCACGGCCTTAGGTTATTTTATTTTTTCCATTTCCTCTCTAGTGATTCCAAATGTAGATCCCTCTAAAACCTCAATATATCGTCATGCCTATAGTATCGCAGTATATTGCGACATATCGTAACGTATCATTGCCCCATGTACCGTGACATGTATCGAATGGCCAGATTCTTGCCGATACACGTCCCTAGACCCTGTCCTCACTGCTATAAAAAAAAAAACACGTGTGCGCGTACGCGTGTTTACTCACATATATTAGCCGTGCCTTTGGGGATAGGAAGGTAAGAGCCGGCGCTCCACGCTCGGCCCTGGTAACTCCTCTTGCAGCGGCCACAGTCGGGCCCCGTGGTGTTGTGCTCGCACTCGCAGCTCAACTTCTCTTTGTCAAATATGCAGCTGTTGGCGTGAAGGTTGCACTTGCACCTGTAAGAGAAGGGAAACAACACAGGGAATGTTAAGGCAGTTGAAAGAAGGAACGTAAACGAACATGAGGGAATTTCCTGGCGCTCGACACAAAAAAAAAACAAAAAAAAAAAAAAAAAAAAACACTGGGCTTTTTATTTCGTCGGACAACGAGGCTCACAAAGCGGCTTGTCCTTGAGTCACAATGGAACACCACGCGCCACTTCAAGAAACGACAGTTCAAAAGGAAGGCAGGTTATTCCAAGAACAAGTCTGGCATCATTATTTTCTTTTTCTCCCCCACCCCCCCACCCCACCACCCTCTTTCTTTACTTCTGCCTTTGACTCAGGAGAGTAGCTTGGTTTTAATTGTCCCACTGGAGAATGCATTATTGCGGTAAGGTCACGGTTGATGTGCAGAAGAAGATCTGGTTGCGGTAAGGTCACGGTTGATGTGCAGGAGAAGATCTGGCAGGGAGAAGGAGGCGCGAGGGGAGGAGGTGCTGAGGAAAACATACCAAAGTTAAATTGTGGGAACAAGCAGTATAGGAGAAGGAAAGGGATGAAAGCTCGTAGCTCTGTTAGCCAGAGGGGTGGCACAGCACAACAGCACATTCTCCAAGACGAATTAATATGAGACCAGAGAAGGGAGGCATATTTTCAGTCTGGAAGGAGGGGGCTCTCTCCTTGAGGGTCCATTAAATCCTGTCTAACTCTGTGTTAACCATTATCATCTCCAACCTCTCTTTAAAACCCAGCAAACTCAAGTTTCTTTTATTACTAAGTGTAATTTGATCATCTTTTTTTTGTTATACAAACACGAATTAAAAGCTCTATGAAAAGTAACTGTTCAAATTTGTATTTAAAGACAAAAATTGACTTTTAGGTATATCTATTATTTTTTATTATTATTATCAGCAGAATTATGACTTGGCCTCAATTTTTTTTTTCAGTAAGACAGACTCATAAAAATAAAAATTCACAAAATTTTGCGTTTATAGAAAGCACTTCTGTTGACCTCCACTCCTCACATTCGACACATTCCCTGCTATTGCTTCAAAAGACTGCTGAACTTTGTGTAAAATACTGCAATTCTCCCGCAAAAAAAAAAAAAAAAAAAAAAAAAAATCAAAAACAAATCATTGGAACTGTCTAACAGCGGCCAACTTAAAAACTTAAAATGTTAAAAAGTAAAAATTAATTGTAACTTTGCATTCACCTAAAGGGCCTCCATTTTGGGACCCACCACAGTTAACATCATCATCATTACAAGCCCTGCTGTTGTGCCAACAATGACTGCAGATTTAACACAAACACAAACTCCAAGGTTTGGTCCATTGAAGAGAAAATAGAACAGTGGCTGTACATTTATTTTTGGGAACAAAATGCTAAAACCAGACCAAAAAAATGTCACAATTATGCCTTTGCCCTTTCCCAAAAATATATTTCTTTATCTCGTATTCTTTGAGCCAGGAGTAACAGATCCTGCATCAATTTTTAAATCAAATAGAAGGGAACAATGGGGGAGATGATGGAGGAGAGAGGCGACAGACACAGAGAGAGAGAACCGACGTCTGTGTCTCTATCCGTGACAACTGGTCACTCTTTATTGTTCAACATGAATTACAGTAAAACACTTGGAAGGTTTCCATAATTAACACAATTATATTAGAAGAGCATAAAAAAAATGCCTTGGCTGCCAGTCTGTGTTTACAAAAACACTAAATCAGCGAGTGTCATTTTGATGGCTTTTTTTTTTTCTCTCTCGATCAAATCAGTCAAATCAAATTTTCACATACTGTGAATTATATGATATATTTTATCGATAACTTATTATTTATTACTTGTTATCTTTACCAACTATAATAGAAATAAATTTGAGAAATAGGTAATACTCAGTATTCAGCCACGCCTTCCATTTATAACGTAATCCTAAATAACAAAAGTTCGAAAACGCTGTAATTAGATTAGATTAGATTGAATTGGGTTAGATTACATTAGATTAGATTAGATTAGATTAGATTTGCTTTAGTTGGGTAAAGTGGGTTAGATTACATCAGAGTAGGTTCGGTTGGGTTGTGTCAGAATGGATGAGATTAGATGAGATTATATTAGATTAGGTTGGGTTAGGTCTGGTTCGGTTGTATCGGAATGGATTCGATTAGATTGGGTAAGATTAGATTAAATTAGATTAGATTTGGTTGGGTCGGGTTGGGTTGTATCGGAATGGATTAGATTAGATTGGATTGGGTTAGATTACATTAGATTAAATTAGATTAGATTAGATTTGGTTGGGTCGGGTCGGGTTGTATCGGAATGGATTAGATTCGATTTGATTGGGTTAGATTACATTAGATTAAATTAGATTAGATTTGGTTGGGTCGGGTTGGGTTGTATCGGAATGGATTAGATTAGATTGGATTGGGTTAGATTACATTAGATTAGATTAGATTAGATTTAGTTGGGTCAGGTTGGGTTGTGTCAGAACGGATGAGATTAAATTAGATTCGTTTGGGTTAGGTCCGGGTGGGTTGTATCAGAATGGATTAGATTAGATTGGATTGGATTAGATTACATTAGATTAGGTTAGATTACATTAGATTAGAATTAGATTTGGTTAGGTTGGGTCGGGTCAAAATGGATAAGATTAAATCAGATTAGATTAGATTAGATCAAATTAGGTTGGGTTGTATCGGAATGGATTAGATTACATTAGATTAGGTTAGATTACATTAGATTAGAATTAGATTTGGTTAGGTTGGGTCGGGTCAAAATGGATAAGATTAAATCAGATTAGATTAGATTAGATCAAATTAGGTTGGGTTGTATCGGAATGGATTAGATTAGATTGGATTAGATTACATTAGATTAGGTTAGATTACATTAGATTAGGTTAGATTAGATTGGGTTAGATTACATTAGATTAGAATTAGATTTGGTTAGGTTGGGTCGGGTCAAAATGGATAAGATTAAATCAGATTAGATTAGATTAGATTAAATTAGGTTGGGTTGTATCGGAATGCATTAGATTAGATTAGATTAGATTAGAATGAACTCTATCGATCCCAAACTTGGGACATAGTTATTAAGGTGATTACATAGTCCATTGGACGTCTCTTGTGTTTGAAAATTCTTCCATACGTCCAAGTGTGAGTGAACTAAAGAGCTCAGGGCTGGAAAATGACCACGTTCCTCTGTGGTTTAACCTTCAACTTCTCTTAACATCGCCAACATTTTAATCAGTGTCCAGATATGATAGTGCCGTCAGCATAATAAGGGAGACCGCCAGCGAGGCCCCGCAGGGGCTCATGCCCACCAGCACTGTTGTGCTGCCAATCAGGAGTCTGTGCACTGCGTGCGGAAAGCCAAGGGGGGAGGCTTCCTCTGTGCTGCACCAGCAACAAGATCTTCACAGAAGAAGCCAAGTAAACGTGTACTAAACTGCATTTTAATGGTTGAGTTTTCCTCCGGGGGTTTCCTATTCATACCATCTCAGTGTCTTTCTTTCCTGTGGGGTCTGCTCAGCGGGTTGCTTCCCTCTGACTTCCCACCACCTTTTATAGTCTATCATTTTAAACCCTGCCCCCGTATCTCTCCAAATCATAAATATTCATTAGGCTAAAGTATCTTTGTTTTGTCTGGTGTTTTCATAGTGGTTTTGCTCCGGGCGCTATTGAGTGTGCCAGCCACTATCTGTGAGCTAAATGCCCCGATATGTATTCAGGGAATTACCCATGGGGTCTGGAGCTGAAATTGCTTGAGTGGGGGGGGAAAAAAAACTTAGACGGTAAGTTTTGATTTTATTTTGTTTGAGCAAAAAGCGCAAACACATTCTTCTATTTATCAAAATGTGGGAGGGAGATGATATTGTTGGGCTGAGATTTATTATTTTTTTATGTCCTGGTGGAAATGCAAGCGGAGCAGTCTGTTGAGACTCGGCTTACCTGGAGCACTGCATCTGTGACCTCTGCGGTAATGGGATTCTGATTGACACCCAGAGTGCAGACAACATTTTTTGGTCCGCCCCACGGTCGGGCACAGCAGCGGTCCGAAAAAAAAAGCAGGCGTTTGAAAAAGCCTTGATTTCACGATAAATCATTGCACCTTATTGATTTGTTTCCATTAAGCCAGATTCATTTAGCCGCTGCTAATCGGCTTCCGTTTGCTAATTGCAACTTCAAAACCAGCCGCTAATTGATAGCAATTATCAGCTAGCGCAGCCTGCGACATCGCGCGCACGCACGCACCGACAAAGCTGCTGATCCCAACAAATTGAACACAGTAAACTCAACACGATCCTTAAGTGGGTTAACTAAGTGAAGCAATTATATTTCAATCTAACGCCCAGGTGTTTTCATACACAAGCCAATCGGGTTAACACTCCCTGTTAATGAATGATTTTTTTTTTTGTAGCCCCTGCCTGCTGTAAATGAGTGGAAACACACAAGGGGGTTGCCAGGGCTGGCGGAAGGTGTTTCTGAGAATATTTTTGCCTTAATTATATGTGATGAAAATAAAACAGAAACACATGACTGGTTTGGGGGAGAGAGAAAAAAAGAAAAAAAAAAAGACCTCCAGGGCATTTGTGTGTACATTTACGGTACGTGTGTGGTATTTGATTTTTTTTGTTACATACATAAACAGTTCATGGAAATGTTATTTACACAACGGTCACTATAAATAAAAACCTGACGTAAATTGCGATATATTTGTTCACTTGATCTAACATCTTCCCCTCTCTCTCTCTCTCTCTCTCACACACCCAGATGCACAGTGCCGAGCTCGTCCCCACTGACTCCGGCTCTGCTGCAGCTGCCGTCTATATTGGTCTAAAACAGATCAGCCTGTCTGCTAACATGTTGCCTGTTAATTGCCTCTTCTACCTTTTCTTCCTCCAGCTTCGCAGCACAATGTGGGGATGGAGAAGAAGTGAGATCTCAGCTCAAGCTCTCCTGGGACGGGCACCATCAACCCCCCCCCACCCCACCCGTTGCCAAAATCACTAATTATATACATATTTC